AGTGGGGGGTCTCCTCTTGGCTGTCTCTTGCCCTGGTTCTCTATTAAACTTGCTGCTCAGCCATTTTGCTTGTGTCGTGGAGCTACCAGCCCCCTCTTAATTACTCTCTACCAAGATCTCCAGTGGTGTTGACGACACCCTAAGACATGGCGTTTTCAGAGTTCTGATCCAAGTCATCAGCTCCCTCAGGCAGAGATCTAGAGTTCTTTGCCTTTACAGCTGTCTTTCCCCAGAGCGGAACCCATAAACCCTGCACCCAAGCCGGGGGTGAGACCTACTTTTCCCAGCGTGACACCAGGCTCTCGGGGCTGGCAGTGCCTGGTCTCAGCTTGCCTCCACAATGTAGAACCTCCACCCTTTGAGCTAGCCAAGGTGGGGGCCACCAGGGTCCAAGCATTCTCACCCCGCCGCATCTGGATAGAGCTTCCACCCTCCAGGGGGGTCTGTGTGGGGAAGTCCTCTCTGTGGGCCTTGCTTGGACTAGAGATTCTGCAGCACGGGGCTGGACAGGATGAGAAAGGCCAGCAGCCTGCCCCTCCCGGGGTAAAACTGTAGCCCCAGACTAGTTGCTGGGAGGAGGGGGAGCCCCCCGTCTTCTTGATCACACCTACCCAGAGTAGTGCACCCCAGGAAAAACGTCCATGACACAACTGGGAGGAAGAGCGAGCATACGTTATCTTCTGACACCAAATACATGTTGCTTTTTCACACTGTTCCTCCAGGTCTCTGACACCAACTGGGCAGCCACTGGCTCACGTCAGTTGTGACACTAACTACTCAGTCCCCACAGATCAAGGGCTCAGTCCCACAAAAGTACCCCCACTTCAGATGCCAGCCGCCAATGGGGTGCTCAGGCTATCCATGCTTCTGCCCAGCTGACTATGAATTTGAGGGTTCCCATGACCCCCTCCACATGTTTGATCATCACAGGAACAACTTACGGAACTCAGGAAAGCACTTTACTTTCCGTTGCTGGTTTATTATAAAGAATCCAACTCAGGAACAGGCAAATGGAAGAGCTGCATGGGGCAAGGTATAGGGGTGGGGGTGGCCCAGAGCTTCCATGTCCCCCCCAGGCACACCACCCTGCCAACACCTCAATGTGTTCACCAACCTGGAAGCTCCCAAGCCCCGTGGTTTAGGAGTGTTTATGGAGGCTTCACCAAGTGGGCGGGGCTGATTAAATCACTGGCCGCTGGTTATTGAACTCAACCTCCAGCCCCGCTATGTGCCAACTTTCATCCTAGGCTCTGGGGATTCAGTCACGAACAAGACAGCCTGGGTCCTCATGAGCTCACACTGCGGGCCGGGGGAGTGGGAGGGGGGTAGTATTTTATCACACACCTTGGATGAATGAATCTCTGTTATGTGCCCCATAGAGATGGGCAAGGCGTCCGGCAGGTTAATGATGCCTGGCCTCCCTGTCCCCTCAGAGGGCAGGGATGGCTTTCTTCCCTCCAGAGCCTCCCACAGGTGGCAGTGCCCCAGCCCACCGCCACTGCCCTGGGCTGAGGCACCAGTCGGCCGGGCTGAGTGTGCTGAACTGACTCCTCCCAGAAGACCCAGACCACAAAGTCCAGCAGCTCCAGCGGCTCTGGGCCCACCACCACCATCCCCAGTGTAGGACACACGGGCAGTTCGAAAAGCAGCAATGAGATGATGTCACTGGGGCTGGGGATGGCCGGTGGTCCCAGAATAGGGGGCTTTGGAGAGGATCTCCAAACAAACTCCAGAACAGGATATCCTCCGACCTGTGGCATCCCCATCCCCGCCACCACACCTGGACGGCTGGCCTGCAAGTCCAGCTGGTCACTCTTGCCGCGTGACTGCAGCCACATTTATAAGCCTGGCCCTGACCCCCAGGAGCAACCCTGGTGCTAACAGTCCCAAAGCTGACACCTGCCATGGGCTCCAAGCAACCTGAGGGGCTGCTGGCCCGTGCCGTCCCCTCGGGCTGGAGATTCAGAGCTACCCTCTGAGATGGGCCGCAGGTAGAAAGGTAGAAACCCAGGAGGCATGAGTCAGGAGAGGCAGCTGGGGGCAGTGTGTGTGGGGGGCGGGCACCATGGGGATCTTTTGCCTGGGCTAGGTTCTTGAGGGGGGAGCCACTCAGGTCAGATAGAGGGCAATATCCTGCTGGAGTGGGGCCATTGCTTTGGGCTGGAGGGGCAGGCCCCCTATTGACTCCAAGTCTTGGGCACTGGGCAAGTTCTCTCTCTTCTGCGGCCTGTGTCACCCTGTCCACAGTCCTGGGCAGACAAATCTGAGCCCACTTTTAACCAACCACTGCTCCAATCTGCCTCCCTGACAAAACACCTGTGTTTCTGACCCCTCCACATCTCGATACCTCTGCAAGGATCTAGCCACTTAAATCAGCCTCAGATACTGAAGTAATACTGAGCTTCCCCTTGTCCAGTCATCAGAGACACTCAGGATGGATTGCATCATCTCTTGTTAACTGCCAAGCCCGGGGCAAAAGGGATGAAGAGGACCTGCCACTGTCCCAGGAAGTGCCTGGGCCACATGCACTGGGCGTACGTAATGGGAATACAGGCTCAGCCCGCTGAAGAGGAAGGCGGGAGATGGAGCATGGAGAGGCCAGAGGCTGGTTGGGGCACGTGGCTGCTATTCAAGGCATCTACCAGCTGGACACATACCGCCCCCACCCCTAGGATGCTGCCACCCCAGGCCAAAGCTACAGAGTGGCCCTTCGTTTGCTGAGTCAGTGTGGGGCATATGGAACACCTCCACTGAGCCTTATGGAAAACCGAGCCAGCCTCTGGACTGGGACGTCCTGGGACCTCAGTATGGTTCCGTGCCGCCTCCCTACCCTGCTTCGGGTGAACCGAGAGGGTGGTTTCCGCCGTGTAAGCTGCATCACCAAAGGATTAAGCCAGCCTCGGAAGCCTCAGGGTGGGGGCTCCTCGGCCTGGGGGCCATATGACCGGCTTCTGGTCCTGGGGCGCTCTGGGGAAGATACCCCCTCTAATGGGTACAGAAGGGCAGAGTGGTGGTTTCTAGGGCTTTGATCAACTCTGATATCAGATATTCACATTAGGGGAAGGAGGGGTCTCCCAGGGCCCAAAAGATTGCCCGGAGAGCCTGGTGTCCTGGTCTCTGAGACGCCATGGCCTGGGACACCCCAGCCTAGGGCCTCTGTGGTGCTGTCAGCCTCGGAGGCAAAGGCCATTTGCCAGTGCCCAGTCTTGCCAGGAAGAGGACAGGGTCCCTTTAAGCCTTGCCTCATTCCCTCAGTTTGTTGCTATGTATAAGACCAACTTCCTTAGCAACCACCTGACCTCTTAAAGGGGCCCTGGAGTAGCAGTGGCTGCCAGCCATGGCTCCCAAGAAGAAGGCAAACAAGGGGGCCAAGGAGCAGGAGGTCAAGAAGAAGAAAGGTGGCAAGAAGGATCCTGGCGTGGCCATGGACATGCTTTCAGCCGAGGAGATGCGGGAGTTCTACCACATCCAGATCCGCGACCTGGAGGACAGGCTGGCCCGGTGCGTGGGCGGCAGGGGGCTGGTCCTGCCCTGCGGAAGCTCCACTCCCAGCTGGCACTGTGCAGGCTTCGTCGGGGTGGGGGGCGTTCTCTAACTCTTTCAAGACAAACCCCTTTGGTGACGAGGAGGCCGTGGTTCATCCCCAGATGATGTCGCAGATGCTCACAGCTAATGCCAAGTCCTTTGTGTGTGCCAGGTGGGGCCTGTGCTGGTGTTCACTGTGTCCTCGAAACAGTCCCACGAGAGAGGTCTTGACCTCATTCCCATTGCACAGGTGGGGGGACTGAGGCTCAGAGAAGGGAAGTCACCCCCAGAAAGTACCAGAATGGGAGCCCCAGCCCCTCTGAATTCTCTACGTCAGGCTGCTTCCTGGCTCCACAAAGCCCTGCAGCGCCCTGCATGCAGCAGCCATGCAAAAGATGCTGGTTGAGCAAATTATGAAATAAAACATCTTTCCAAATAACTCCTACCAACTATTCCATTGGCTACCAATAATCAATTATGTGATACTTTAAAAACTCACAAGCTTCCCTCAAGCTGAGACCAGACTGAATATATTTGAGAAAAATGCATCTGGGAGGTCATTATTTTGTGGTTGCTATTTGCAAAGCCCCTCTGCCAGGCCCCAAGAGCACAGCGGTGAATGAGGTTCAGGGGTCTGCCAAGTGGAGGACTAGACACATCAGGTCTCAACCACCAAGTGGGACAAGGGCCAGCCTACAGGAGGGCACCAGAGAGGGTCACAAATGTGGCTCAGGGTCAAGAAGGCGCCACCGAGGAGGTAACTCGGTGGATGAGTAAGGAAGACAGCATGTGCAAAGGTTTGGGACTGCAAAGTGTGGCAGTGACGGTGGGTAGAGCTGGCTGATCGCAGCAGGAAGCTTTGCAGTTAAGAGCCTCAACTCTGGAGTCAGACCGACTGGACTCAAGTTCCAGTTTTGCCATTTACTACCTAGGAGTTTCTTCTTCCTTCTGGGCCTGCGTTTCATCTGTAAAATGGGTATAAGCATCATAGTAGCTACTTCCTTATGGGTTGCTGTGAGAATTCAACAAATACACACTGAGTACCTACTGCGTACCAGGGCCTGTCCTCGGTGGTGGGGGACACGGCTGTGAGCATAATAAACAAAGGCCCTGCCCTCATGGAACTCCCATCCAGTGATGCAATGAACGTTAAGGCAGAAGGGCTGGCTGTGGTTGTGAGTGCAGACCAGGGGGAGAGGAGGCTGGATTCCAACCGTGAGGAGCCTCAAATGCCCCTCTGGGGGTGGGTCCTGAGGACCGGAGGCCTGGCTCACCCAGACCCCTGGACCTCTGCCCGGCCCTCGCCTCAGGTACCAGCGGAAGTGGGATGAGCTGGCTGTGCAGGAGAAGCTGTTCCGCCAGGAGTTTGAGCAGCTGGCCAACAACAAAAAGGAGATTGTGGCCTTCCTCAAGCGGACGCTCAACCAGCGGGTGGATGAGATCACTGACCTCAATGAGCAGCTCCAAAGCCTGCAGCTGGCCAAGGAGATGGAGAAGGATGCTTTTGAGGCACAGCTGGCCCAGGTCCGCCATGAGTTCCAGGAGACCAAGGACCAGCTCACCACAGAGAACATTATCCTCGGTGAGCGGGGACTGAGGGCACACGCCATGGGGACAGGGATTCCAAGGCTCTGGCTCTTTGGGCTCTTTGGGCTCAAGTCCTGACTCTACCACTGATTACCTCTGTGGCCTTGGGTGAGCACTTGTCCCTGACCCTGTTACCTGAGAAATGGGAATAACACATCTACCTGGAGCAACAGCCATGTGCTGCTCTCCACGCATTATCTTCCGTCACTGTCCCAGCAATCCCACAGGGCAGAAAATCCTGGCACCCCCGTTGGTAGGGGAGAGAGCATCTCAAGAAGGTGAAGTGTCTTTGGCCAAGGTCACTCAGCTGGCAAGGGTTGTTTTGAGGCTTAATGACAGCATGAGTGCCGGGAACAGAGAAGGTGTTCAAACTGAGTAGCTGTAGTCACCATCACTTTCATAGAGGGGAATGGAGGCCAGTGTCAAGGGAGGTTCTCAGGGGAGGCAGAACCTGGATAAGATTAGAGGAGGGGAAGAGAGAGCTTTCCAGACTAAGGCAACAAAGGTGGGCAGGACTGGGTGTAGGGACGGGTGTCTGACCCTACTGAATCGGGAACCGTAGGCAGGGCAAGAGGACATGGGGCGGGAGGGGTATCGCGCAAGGGCCTCCCTGCCACCGGGCCCTGCCCCGCCCCAGGCGGCCCCTCACCAGGCCTGTGCCCTGTGGTGGGGCAGGGGGGAAGCTGGCAGCCCTGGAGGAGTTCCGGCTGCAGAAAGAGGAGCTCACGGAGAAATTCGCGTCACTGGAGGACCAGCTGCGAAGGCAGGAGAGTGAATACAAGGACTACGTGTACAACCTGGAGAAGAAGTCGGTGCTGGACAAGGACAGGTGGGCAGGCGGGTGCTGGGAGCCTTCGTCAGTGGGGCCAGGCACGCCGTCTTCAGACTTCTGCTGGCTTCTAACTGGGGCGGCGGGGGGACCGCACTCGCCTACCGACTCCCCCACCCACTGCTCCTCAGAATCCTTGTTGATTTATGGAGGGCGGGAGAAAATAAACGAGCTCCCACTCCGGTCCTCACGCCAGCCAGCACTGGAGAGTCCCTGAACTTCCTTTTGCCACGTTTTGTGACTTAAATCATCTTTAATAATACAGTGATTTGGTTTACAATTCCAAAGGTACAAAGGTCTACAGTGAAAAGCCCCATGCCTGCGGCCCCTCCCCTCCTGGGGCAGGAGTGGAGAGGTGGCTCTAGGTGCACTGGGGACCCCCCCACATAGGAAGGGTGGGTGCCTGAGGCCTGTGCCCACTCTGCCCAACGCCTCTCGCTCCCACCCATCTTGGCTAGATTGAAGAAGGAGATCATCCAGCGTGTGAACCTGGTGGCCACTGAGTTCCGCAAGGTGACCACGAGCCAGATGTGGGACACGACAAAGCGGGCCATCCTGGAGAACAACAGCATGAGCCTGCAGCTGTCCAGGGTCTCCCAGCACGGCATGCAGCTGTTGCGGGAGAATGAGCAGCTCAAGTGCGCCCAGGACAAGCTGTGCAGACAGCTGGAGCTGCTGGAAGACGCCAAGGAGATCATGGCCAGGCACAGCAGAGGCCACCAGAAGGTGTGCCAGCCAGACCTTCATCACAGGGTGTCTGACACATAAAGCAGGAGGGAACCCTAGGGGCCCTGCCCTCAGGGCAAACGCAGGACCCAAGCTGGAGCCAGGTTACGAGGGAAGCAGCAGTGAGAGGTCGGGGACCCTCCATGTAGTGGCTCTGGGGTGCTGGCCCTAGTTTTTCTTTATTTGGTTTAAAGCCCCCATAACTCGTGGAAGCGGAGCCCACTCCCGGAGGGCTGGGCGCTCTGCCCAGCTGCTGTCCAGAGCCCTGGCCGAGTCTGGAGCTGGGGGAGCGGGGCTGGCTGAGGGCCCACAGTGGGCCCAGGGCATGGCCACCTGCCCGCACCTGCAGATCATTGTCATGCTGACGGAGAAGTGCCATGAGCAGCAGCACAGCAAAGTGGAGGCTGAGCAGCTGCGCCTTTTGCAAAGCAACCTGGAGCAGAGCCTCCTGCAGCTGCAGCAGGACGCGGAGGCACTGAGGTGAGGGGCAAGTGGTGGGGGCAGGGCGGGAGCCCATCCCTTTAGGGCCACAGGACACAGGCCAGTGACTTCCCTTCTCTAGAGGTGCCTTGAGGCTTCCTCTGTCAAACAGGCTGAGGCCTGAGGCTGGATGAGGACCCCTGTGGGCTAAAGAGAAATGGCAGGGCCCACTGCCCTGGGGCAGGGAGGTGGCTGACTCGTCTGACCCCGGAGCCAGGAGCCAGAGAGACCAGCTGAGCGTGCAGCTGGAGCGGCAGCAGGCTAAGGTGCAGCGGCTACAGCAGGAGCTGACCGAGGAGCAGAAGGTTCGGGCAAGTCTGGAGACGGCTCTGGGCCAAGCCACCTCCTTCCTACGGAGCATGCTGCAGGTGAACTGCAAGTGGGTGAAAGTGGGGGGCAAGAGGCAGCAGGCCGAGGATAGAAGGTGCTCAGTGATAAGTGAGTCACGCGGAGAAGGCCGGGCCAGGGCCAGGGCCAGCAGCGCCCCCGACTTTCCCCTGAGAGACTCCTGGCAAGTCTATCTTTTTCTGATTCTGCACTTCGAAGATCCCTCCAAAGTCTCAAAGGACCTGGATGGAGTCCTCTGAGGCCCTGGAAGGCCTCGGGCCTCAGTCTTCCTATGTGGAGAATAGATACCCCACCACAGCCAGGGAACACTTCACAAATACAGGCACTGGAGCTGGAGTTTCCCAGCGGTGGGTGTTGGGGCCGCGGAGGACCTGATCCCCACGGGCCCATCCCCCACCCCCCGCCTCCGCACCGGCAGATGCAACCGGAAGGAGAGGACGGCGACTTCGATGTAGTGTTCCAGCTGCAGCGCAAGGAGATGCTGCAGCAGCTGCTGGCCATGCTCAGCTCAGCCATGGTCCTAAGCCTCCAGCTGGTTCCTTGTCCCCACAAAGACAGCCAGCCCCGTGGCTCAACCAAGGAGAGGTGAGTGACCCTGTGTGACCTCAGAAGTAGCTATCGGACTTGTCCAAGGGCTGTCCTCAGTGACCCTGAGCTAGAATTCGGGGTCCCCAAAGCCTTTCTCAACCTCAGCTTTCTCATCTATGGAACAAAGTCGTGATGACACTAGCCCCCTCCCCGCAGCCGGTCCAGCGCCCAGCCATCCAAGATGGGTTCTCTGCTGCAGCAGCTGTCCAACATCACGCCCTACCAACTGGGGGACCTGGGCCTGGTGCCTCGACGGACCCACATCCCACCCAACCCCGAGGACCTCAGGCTGCTCTCGCGCACCACCCGTGTGGGAGCCTTCCACACACACAGCGGCACTGAGGTGAGAGCGCCTGGGGACCCAATGACAGCAAGATGGCAGCCAGCCCTGGGTGTAGATCCCAGTGCGGCCACACAGCACCTGGGGGGATGTGGCTGGACCTCTCTAAGCCTCCATTTCCCCATCTGTAAAATGGGCTGAAGAAAGGCGCGGCAAGGCCTCAGTGGGCTCAGGCATGCGCACACAGTCCCTGGGAGAGGGGCTTGCTGGGCCACTCTTCCATAGGCGTGGGAGGGGTAGGAACCCCAAGGAGGCCTCAGCTTCCAAGCTGGCATCTTTAATCTTACAGATCCACACCTCTGGTTCTACAAAAAGATTCAAAAAGCTTAGTCTTCCTGAAGTTTCCCTACTTTCCAAGTAAGACACAGAGAAGACCAACCCCCCACTCCCAGAAATGGACCAATCAGGCCCCAGTCCCCCCTTTAATCCACAGGAGGCCTGGAACAGCCCAGAAAAGAGATATATAAAAAGTGGTACCACAGGTTGGCATGGCACCTCTGTGGATGTGGCTGGGTGCGTGGGCATGGCAGTCAGGCAGGCAGCCATGTCCACTGGTGTCAGGTGCCTGATAAGGGCCCCTGGCTTCGCTGGCGGATGTGGTCCAAGAGAAGGTCGGTGGCACGCTCCAGCAGCGGAGGGAGCAGCTCCTGCTCCGCAGAGGAGAAGGAGCCCAGCACGTGCGCCTGCACTGCGTCAGGGTGCGTCGGGCGCCCTATGCCCACCCGCAGCCGAGGCATTGCCTGTTGGGGAGTAGGCAGTTCCAGGGAGCTTTGGTGAGGAGTGTTGGGACCCCATGCCATCCCATCTCACCAGACCCAGAGCAGGACAGAGGGGTGGACTCACACTGGAGTTGAGGCAGGTAATGCAGGAACGAACTCCATTGTGGCCCCTTAAAGGATACGAGAAGCAGTCAGAACTTCCTTGGGTCAGCGCCTTTACCCCTCTCAGCCCAGGCTGGAGTCAGAGCACCCCACCCCACTCCAACAAGGATGCCAGCTTCCCTATCCCACCCGCATTGGCTTAAGGCCTCACCTGGCGCTTCCCCCTAGCTTCAGAGCCAGTTTCCCCAAGGGCTTGTCCAGCTCATCATGCACCAGGTAGACCTCCTCAGCAGTCAGCCCGAACAGCTCCGCTTGGCACAGGGAAACGGTGGCCCTGGTTACTGCCCATCTGCCCAGGGAGCGTTGTCCCAATTCAGGGCTCCCACAAGGAGGCGCCGAAATTAACCCCACTTCACATATAAAGAAACTGAGGCTCCCACAATACCGAAGGCCATGCAGCAACTGGAGCTCAACAGGCACCTGGAGGTGAACGGGTCTGCAGCAGCCCAGAATTCCCTCTGGCCCCTGCGCCCTCCCCGCCGGCCGGCCCACCCCTGGTGCCCTCAACTCACCGGCCCGGGCCACGCTGCGCCCGTTGGCATTCATGAGCCGCCGTGGCCGGAGCAGGACCAGCTGGGCATCCCCGAGCGAGGCCAGGGCGAGGTCGGCGACGCAGCGGCGGTCGCGCGCCCAGCTCTCCGCCACACCCAGCCGCCGTGCCAGTTGCCCCAGCACCGCCATGCCCACGCTATGTCGCGTGCCGGGCAGTCCAGGGTTCCCTAGGCCGGCCACCTGCGGGCGGCACCGAGGAAACCGAGGTCCGACAACTCTGCCACCCTCTATCTCACAATGCCCCCTGGGACCCAAAGCAGAGGAGGGAAACGGAGAGCAGGACCGGAGTGGGAAAGGGGCGTGAAGAAGGGGCCTAGAAAGAAACCCTGGAGGCTCCAGAAGGCTGAGTGGAAACTGGCGCCCCGCGGGCTGGGCAGGCAGGGCGCCCTGGTGCAGGAGCGGAGTTACTGGAAGTTTGGGGCCCGTCGGAGTATTGGACCCATTTCCAGATAAGAAATCTGAGACAAGGAATTTGGGAGGCTGCCCGGAGACAATGGCAAAACTGGAGCTAGGATCCCGGAGCCTCTACGTCGCCGCCCTCCACTCCACTCACCAGCCACCGCTTCCCCGGAGGCCGGGGTTCCAAAACGCACCGGCTCATGGCGCGACTCAGCCACAGCCCGGCGTGCAAGAGGCCGGGAGGCGGCATGCTGCTCCCATTCTGAGCCCCGACCCCGCCCCTGACGTCATCCAGCCCTCGGCCAATAGCGATCGCCATCTGTCCGGGGGCGGCCGCCAGCGTCCAATCCAGGGCGGGCCCCGGGGTCGCCATGTTTCTGAGGGGCGGAAGTGGCAGGGCGGCAGCCGTATCTGGGCGTCCGCGTGCATTCCGTGGTGTGGCGTCACTGTGTCCCGGCGAGGTTTGTTGTGGGACTCACAGAGCCCTTGCTTGACCTCCAGACTAGGAGGAGGGAGTCTTCCTTTGGTCCCCGCAATGGTCCTGCCTCGTGGCGGAAACCCGGCAAGTCTTTTTCCTTCCGTGGTCTCAGCTTCCCCAGGTAGTAAGTTTGCTACCCTCGGTCCTGCGCAAACAGCCCTTGGATCCCAGAGGCGTGGCCAGAGGGGCGGAGCCTGTGGGCGTCGTGGAGATGCTGCCTAGCAACGTCAAGGAAGGATGAGAGTCGCGAGGGAGCCAACTCAGACCTGGAGATCCACCTGGAAGGGGCCTTATGACAGACTCCAGAGAAGTGCTGGAGGAGGTGAAAGCACAGGCAGAGAGTCGAGGGAGAAGAGACTGAGACTGAGTTCACAGGAAAGGTTTTAAGTACCGGAGAGGCAGGATCAGTTGTGCAATTCAGCAAAGTCCCAGGTTGCTGTACAGAGAACAAAGGGCTTGGGACTTGTGGCCTGTGGGGAGGTCAGAGGAGTGGCTGGAACTGGTGTCCTGGCAGAGATGGCATTGACCCAGACGAGGTGGGAGAAGAGGAGGGATCTAAGAGATCTTTAGGAAGTGGGACGGACAGGACTTGAGGACTAATGGGACGTAAGTCTCTGGCTGGCAGAGAAGGTGAACTCACCGAGGTGGGAAAGCTGGGGCAGAAGTCAGGTGAGGTGCTCAGTTTGGCCTGCTGGGCGTGAGAGTCCCACAGGAAATACTAGTGGCTACAGGACCCTGGGACCTGCAGCTTGGGGCAGGGCCTGAGCCGGAGACTAATATTAGAGTTTTGGGTGTCAGTAGGTGGAGGTGGGAGCTGAGGAGGACCGGAAGGAGAGCAGAAGGCAGTGTGAGCATGAGAACCTTGACCACAGGAGGAAACAGGACTGGAGAGAGAGAGGTTGGGACATCCCCAAGGGGAATGGGGCTGGGAGTGCCACCAGACCCCAGATTGTGCCTCCTACCAGGCCTCATTGCCACCCCTCTTCCATCCTGTAAAATACTTGAAGAGAGTGAGCGTGTGTTTGTAGGGGGTGGGGGGGGGCAGTCATCCCTGAGGCCTGCTCCAGCATGCTGTCCCTTGGTTCTAGGATCCTCTTTACCAGACTCCCTCACAGCACATCCCAAAGCCATGGGTGACTCCAGCCCCAAAGGAGACCCTACAGCGCATCTTTGGGACCAGCCAGGTGTTCTGGACCACTGATGATATAGGACCAGAGGTCACTGGGTCAACAGTACCCCGCAAAGTCAGGGAGTAGTGAGTGACTACCTTGCCCCGGGGTCTCAGGTTCCCACCCTGTACGGCCATTGATATGTCATGCAGCCTTGGGCCAGTTGCTCTCCCTCCCTGGGCTTCAGTGAACTCACCTGTGTAATAGGGCTCCTCCACCTCAGCTGATGAAAGGCTGCTGGCCTAGATGAACGCCAGCAATGCCAGCCTCCTCCCCGCATCTCTGTCTACCCCTCCTGTGTCTCCACCCAAGCACCCCCACCCACCCACTCCCACAGCCCTAGCCGTATGCCCTGGGCTGGTCAAAGTCAGGGCCCGCCCCTCTGCCTGTGCCCCCTGCCCCCACAGCTACCAGCAAGGCCATCAGTGCTTGGAGAAAGAAGACTGGGAGTTGGCTGTGCTGTTCTTCTCCCGCGCCCTCCACCTGGACTCCCAGCTGGTGAGGGGAAGGGTTTGGGTGGGCCCAGACAGGCTCTGGCACACACTTCCCCCTCACTGTTGCACCTGCCAGGCCCATCCTCTTAGGGCCACCAAGTCCCTACTGGTAACAGTGTCAAGCCTCAGGGTGGACTGTGGGGAGGCGACAGCAGCCTGGGACCCCTCTCCCCAGGTAGACTTCTACGCCTTAAGAGCCGAAGCCTACATCCAGCTCTGCGACTTCTCCTCGGCTGTCCAGAACCTGCGCAGGGCCTACTCCTTCCAGCCAGAGAACACCAAATACCTGGAGCGGCTCACCTTTGTGCTTTACCTGCAGGTGCCTAGGGCTGCCCCAGGCCCACACAAGGCACCCACCCCACACTTGGGCCTGCTGACTCTCCCTCCAACTCCGGGGACTTTCCTTGCTCCCGGGACTAGTTCTGACTCCCTGTGGACCTCCTTGTCCCTGTGTCTGTGTCACCACCTGCTGCCCCTCTCATGACTTCTCCCACCTCTCGAGTTGGTTTACTGCCAGGGCTGGGTAAAATTTTGCAACATCATTGAACTTTCTGTGACAATGACAGTGCTCTGCTGAACACTGTCCAGTCTGGTAGCCATTAGTCCCATGGAACTGTTGAGCCCTTGAAATGTGGCAAGTGTGACTGAGGAACTAATTTTTAAGTTGTATTTCATTTTAATTAAATTCATATAGCCACATGAAGCTTGTGGCTATTGTATTGGACAACACAGACCTAGAGTCTAGAGGCTCTAAGCACTAAAAAGGTCATGGCGCCCTCACATTGGCAATTCAAAATAAAAACAGTATGGAACCATAAAATGCCATTTTGACAATTTAATATCTTTGTTTTTAATGTCAATAATTATTCAATTCTTGAAACATTTGGGGCACTCAAACCACATGCTTAGTCTGTCCGTTGGAGTCCTGAATCCAGTACTGGCACTACCTGTGTGACCTTGGGGAAGTTACTTCACCTCTCTGAGCCTCAGTTCTCTCATCTAAAAGAGGGGGTGCTAATTATCACCAGTGAGATACCAAGTTCAGGTTCTTCACACAGGACTCAGGCACCTGGAGCCCCATCAGGCTGGAGCCTGTTACCGTTAGCTCTGCTGTTCCCATCTACCTCCCTGATTTTCCCTTTCTCTTTGTTCCTGGGTCTCCGTATTGCTGTCTCTTGCCACCTGTGTATTTCTCACTGCCTTGTGCTGTCTCTCCCCAACTCTGTATCTCTCCCCATCTCTGTGTCCCCGTGTCTTGTCTCTTTCCCCTTCCACCCCAGTGTTGCCCAGACCCTGTCATGGGTACTGCCAGTCTGGGGATGCAAACAGAAGTGACTGCCCTTTGTGTCCCCAGGGCCAGTGCCTGTTTGAGCAGTGTGCCTTTCAGGATGCCCTGAACATCTTCTTGCAAGCCTGTGAGCTCCAGCCCGAGAAATCCTGCTTCCGTTACCGATGGTGAGTGCCCCATTTGCATCCTTCCAACCTGTGTTCTCCAGTAGCCCCTGCTTGTCTCTCTCACCTCACAGACAGAGCACCTTTGCCCTCTGTCCTCAGCATGACCTGTCTCCTGGCCCTCAAGCAGCATCGCGACTGCCTCTCACTTGTCACTAAGGAGGTGAACCGTGGCACAACCAATGCCGATGTCTACATGCTCCGGGCCAGGCTCTATAACTTCTTCCAGAAGGTAGAGCAGGGAGGGCAGGCAGGGGGTGTCCCTCCTCCCAGCTGGGGTTCCCACAGCATGCCCTGAGATTATAAGAGGCATCTAGGCCATCAGTCAGCCCAGAAGCCACATCCGCACGGTGTGGTGGAGGCATCTGGGCAGAGGCCCTGACCAGTACTGACTACTGAGCTGCCCAGTCAAGTAGTTCGATTATCACTCAGCCTTGGCTCTGTACCAGGCTTGTGCTGGCCCCTGGAAACCACAAGGTGGGAGACCCATGCCATCACGGCCCTCACAGAACTCACAGCCCGGGGGAGACGTCCCTCAGCAGATAATTATGTGAAGAAACATTTCATGAGTGTATGAAGTAGCGTCTGAGATCCGCTAGACAAGGCGGCCCTTCCTCCTCCCTTCCTTTTCTTATTTGTCTCAATGAACATTTACTAAGCACCTCCAACTGGTGCACCCCTGGCTTGGACATGAGGACAGACAGTACAGGGAACGGCTTAGGGACAAGGGAAACTTGGGGTCACAAGGGAAGAGGGGACTGCAGGTATGGAAAGGCATTGGGCAAGGCCTTATGAACACAGGACGCCCCTGATTTCTTCCTGGAGACAGCGGGAGCCTCCAAAGGGTGCTCCCCAGGGCAGTGGGCTTTTGAAAGATCCTTCTGGCTGCCAGGGGAAGTGTGGGCTGGAGGGGACAAGTCTGGAGGCTGGAAGCCTGTGGAGGAGGCTAGGTCCCATCCAGCAGAAGAGGAGGGAGTGAAGGAGCCAGGGGGAGGATGGGCAAGAAGCAGGCTGTTCACTGTCCTTGGATGTGAGGATCAGAGACTGACTGAGGGTGGAGGCCATGAGGGGAGGGAGGGATCCAGAACGGTGTTCTAGCTTGGCCTGGTGCCTGGGAGCTGGGACAGAAGAGGAAGGAGCAGGGAGT